TCTCTTTGGCAGTGTTAATGTATTTGGCTCACTTTGACTTAATATACTTCCATCCATGTTCATTTATCAGTCTTTTAATAATAATATTTTTATAGCAACAGCATCTGTTGAGTGCCTTGTGTGTTTGCTTAGTTAGATCATCCCTAAGGAACGGACTCATTCTGAGGGGGTCAGAGTTTCTGGGGATCTGGGCCGCCCACTGCCCCTAGCCGGGCAGCCCTGAGACTGTCTCTGCAACTCCTGCCACACACTCAGCTGCAGTGGGAGCAGGGCGCCTCTAGGTGGCGCTGTTTCACAAACACGAAGTCGTGGTTTGTAGGAAAGGCCATGGTTTCAGAAAGGTGTTTCCCCTGTCATCATCCGGGAGCTCCAGGTTACACACAACAGGAAATCCTAATCCAATGTTAGCACTTGTCCCTCTTGCATTTTGTTTAGAATTAAGTGTTCACCTCCCTGAAATTGTTTCCTTTCCTGGGACCAAGAGACCCGGACTCACCTTGTTGTTGTTTTTAGTAGTAGGCTCAATTTGTATCAGACTTACATTTACATACATAATTTTCACAGTAAAAACCTCTTTCTCTGCAGGCTTGTTTCTCTTCATGCACTCAGCACTCTCTGTCATTCTCTTACATGCTTATGCTCTGAGAAAAAACACTGTGTGACTCTTTAAAATCTGGGGACTTTTTTGTTTGTTTCTTTGTTTTTATGATTCCAAAGAGGAAAAAAACCAAAGATCTATAGGAGTAACAAAATGGTGGAGTGGAACTTCTACAGAAATTTACTATTGTTATAATAACAAACACAAATTGTAAGCTTCAGAGCAAGATATGTTGGTGCTAACTTTGTGTCAGTCTTGGTTGAATACATTGGTGTGGAATATGCAGAATGCTTGTAAAGTGTTTTAAGGTTCTACAACTGAAATTCTGTCCTTAAATTGGGCTTGGGACAAGGATTTCAGGCAGAATAAACTAATTATAGGAAAACTGATCTACACTCCTATGTGTAAATATTTTGTTTTTCTGCAAAATGCATAAGCATAAAAGCACAGGCATTAATGACTAGCCACTCTTTTATCCTTATCTGGGGAAGCTTTGGCTGGACTTATGACCTTCTGCTGCAGATGGTCAGTAGCTGGGTGTAGGTGCCTGAAAAGGAAGTAGTGGAGGAGGAACCACGCGTTCTGCGGTGTGCTCACCGGCCTGTCATCTCACCTGACACTGAACGTGACTCCCAAATGCCTCCCCCCGTGTTCCATCGGGCGGTGCCCACAGCCTCAGCACCAGCCAGACCCTTCCACCTGGTCTGCACGTTTCTGTCCCAGACAGCTCTGCTGACTGTGGCCCGTTCTTCTCGTGCCGTTCCTGAAGTCTTGTTGATTGCTCCCTGTCTCCATTCTCTTTTTCTCACTTTCCTTCTGTCCTCTTCCAGTTACGGTTCTGCCTCGCCTGATGAAATGGTAACTCCCTAGTCACTTTCCTCTCACTGGCTTGTCCGTCAATGGTCTTGAATGCCATGGGAGGCGTTAAAGACCCTTTCTTGCATAACGGCCAGTATTTCATGTGATAGTGGTTTAGCTCTTTGGTGTATTATGATCTCAGAGTCAGGAACCAGGCCGTTCGTGCTCCGGCTTTCCCCATATGTTGATGAGGGATCTGAGTTAGCAAGATCTAAGACTTGAGATTGCGTAGCTTCTTAGCCAGATCTCTTCTGAGTCCACACTGCGCCCTGAGCTCATAATCGGTCGTGTCCTGGACACCCTGGCCTAGGAAATGGAACGTCTGCCTCCAGCCTGTTGGAGCCAAGTCTGCAGACATTGAGAAATATCATCTCAGCTTGGAACAGCATTGATGTTAGACAGTGGGTTGCAGAGGCAAATATTTAATTCATTGTAAATCCTTAAACTTGAAATTGTAGTAAGTCATTTGGCTGTACTGATAGACTGAGTTTGGAAAGGGGCTGGCGATGTGGAAGTAGAATTTCTAAGTGCATCTAGTACCTGTGCACTGATTTCTTTTGTAACCAAACCCTTTAATAGACTTAAAGTCAAGGAAGGAACAAAATGGTTTTAAGTGAGCATTCAATTATAAGTACAAAGCATTTTTGTGTCTGTTGCCATAGTTACCAAACAGCTTTCCTGTGGTTTCAGAGGAAATGGGCTCCATCATTTAGAGTAATTCTGAGAAGGGCCTTGAGGGCAGAGGTGGAGAAGAGGGCGGTGAGGGTAGCACAGGAGGTGTCCAGGAGAAGCCGGACACACTACGGGGAGAGCCTTTCTCACAGTGAGTTCCCCAGGGTCCCCCACTAGTAGAAACTGTACTTGATTATGAGTGGAAAACTTTTTTTAGCCGTGATATACTGTTAGCTCTCTTAACTGGGTATCAGAATTCAAACTTTCGAAGTCTATTGCTACAGTTTACATGGGGTGCTGCTATATTTGCACGGGTTTTTAAAACTTTATTTAAATAAAGCAAATGTTAGGCATTTCCTGTATTTGCAAACACCAATTGTATCTCAAAGGAATGAAATAAAGATGAGGCCAAATTTTAAAATCCTGGGCAGCTGGCAGTGGCAGTTTCTGGCCTGGAAGGAGAAGGTGTCTATCGCTGTTCTTGTGTGTTTGCTCTTCATAGCGTTTAAATATTAGGTAGAGTTTTGATACTATTCCATGGATTTGGGTTAGGTGGGGCCTCAGTTTATCTCATATTTTGCTAAAATATTCTTTTGTCTGGAGACTGGCAGGCTCGTTGGATCACACCTGGCAACCGGGAGAATTCCTTTCAGAGCTGAGCCTGGGTCATTTGGAAGAATTGGACTGAACTAGTTGAAGGAGTCATGGAGGGGGGCAGGGTGAGAGGTCGGCAGGGGCAGGAGTGCCGTGAGCTCAGATGGTGGAAATGGCATGGAGAGTTGGTGTGACGGGGTGGGGTGACGTCTAGAGAATGGCCTGGAAGCTTCCCTGACAGTTGGGTTCACTTCTCTGCTCCAAGCCAGCAGGGGGCAAGGGGAGTGGACGTTTCAGAGTTCACAAGCCGGAGTCTGACATTTCCAGTCATTCCAGTGTATTTCGGGTGCTGCTTCCACTCTCCCCACTCAGACTATCTCTGCTGTTTCCTTCCCCAGAAGTGCTCTGAGATGAAGCCAGCTTTTCTCCCCAACCTCTAGCCGTACCCTGTTTAGTTGAGCCCTGACGTCACCTCCACAGCCCCCCATGCTGTCAGTCCCTCTCTTCTGTGTATGGATCACAGACCTCTGAGACCCCGGACCCTGTTCCATGGCATTGTAAAGATGGAAGGGAAGTCCTGGCTTTTAACCGAAGCACTGTTTTCTGCAGGAAGTACCTGTTACTGAAACTATGTAAGCAACACATAGAAACAGAACACAATGTAAAACCTGTTGAAACTTAATAAGAACTTAACGTCTCCAGGTAGTCGCTCTCTGAGGTGGAATAGCTGGTCTTCCACCGAAGGGGCGTAATCGTCACTGAAATGGCCTGAAGGCTGATGGACCTTTAGGGGAACACTCAGTGTGAAGAGGCCTCTCCATGGGCAGTTTTCGCTCCAGCTTAGCATCATCCCTGCGGTCAAGCTCGTCTAGTCACCTCCAATAGGTAAAGCTACAGCTAATGGAAAACATTTGCTTTGTGACACGATCAGTGATTAGGCGAGGGGAGGGCCTGGGGGGGTCAGCTTGCCCGTGAGGCAGCTCAGAGCCCCTCAGGAGAAACACTGCTGGCACCTCCAAAAACCATCCACGCCGCCTGAGGCTGGGCACAGCTCACGTCATTCTCTTCTTCCATTCTTGTCCACAGTCTCATGTCATGCAAGTGTTTGTCCTCCACCCCAAAAACTAAAAGCACAGCCCCCCATCCTCATACCATACAGGCCAATTTCCAGGAGTTTTTAGAGCCACACGATTCTTGAGAAGCAAGTCCTCCCAAGAGAACATGATAACCCCTGGAGAGTTAAAACAAACAAACAAAAAAAAATAGAAGTCCTTTTGAAAAGCGGTGGTTCAACCCACACTTCATAAATTGTGCGCTTTCTTAGCCTTTGTAGAGCCTGTATGAGGTGAAAGTAGCAAGCTGAACAAGTCTTTTGTAAGTTATTAACAGACGTCCCATTTCCTAGAGCAGCGTCGCTCCGGCCTTCGGTTGTGTGCGATCACAGCTTTGACTCCATTTCTCCCTTTGTCTGTACTTCCGACATTTTTCCTTTGTTATTTTGAATATATCCTTGTGAATCACCATGAGTCCATTTTTAGAATAAGTTAGGGTCTAAGGCTCTTATCAGACATGCCTGAAAAGTTTTATTTTGTGATAATTAAAGAATCTCAACAGCTAGCAGCAGCTTAACACTGAAATGGTGACATCTTTGGTAGTTTCCTTTTTCTATTTGGATCTTGCCTGTGCCTCTTGGGTCATTTAAAGTTGCTCCCAGAAAGCTATGACTGTGCAGACGCTGCTCATGAATTCTGTCCCGCTGATCAATCAGTGTCTGGACCAAAATAAGTGGTGCCCAACTTGATTCACTTCCTGGGGAGTTTAGTGCTAAGTGGTCCTTGGGGGCCCATCTGCCTTCTCTCTCTGCTTTGAAGGCTCCTCTTGTAGCCAGAACTGCTGCTGCAGCTTATTTTTTTTACTAATTCACAGGCTAAATAAAATATCCTAATGCTCTGTGTTATCTGCCTACTGACTTTAATGATTATTTGGATTGATCTTAAAGGCCATTGTAAAACTGCATTTTAAAATTAAGTGATCATCAAGCACAGGTCTAGTGGATGTCATTATAGAACCGATGCAGCCAACTGTGATTTCTGAGTCAGCTCAAATGCAAATGGAGCCTATTACATGCCTAGCGAAGATGAAACCGAAGCCCATGTACAGTTTATTTATGAAAATCATGCCTTTGACCACCCTTCCTCCTCTGGCTTATGAGTTAGACCATGCAACAAACTCGTGTGTTTGCTTGCAACAAACTGATGTGTGTTTGCTTACAACACAGGTGGATGTGGGCGTGGTGCACTTCACGCCCCTGACACAGCCCAGGATACAGCAGCCATTCAAGCTAGTGGAAAAAGTCGTCCAGAACGTGTTTCAGTTCCGAAGGAAATACTGCCACCGGGGGCTCGGGTAAGAATGCTTCCTCTTCCTATCAGCAGCGCTCTTATAAAATCCTCAATCACTGTTTTGAAGATGAAGCACTTTGTTTTCATGATTATTCGAGCTATCTATAAATACTACTCTCAGTTCAAATCCTGTGATGCACAAAGCTTGACGGCCACTGAGGAAAAGCAAAAGCCTTGATTTCACCTCAGATGGATGTCACAGCTTTTTTGTTTTGTTTTGTTTTGTTTTATCATAAGCACAACCTGAACCTGACACTCACAGTTTGTCCTGACCCTGTACTGGGAAGGTCGTGATTTCGCAGTCAGGACTCGGACTACCGGAACTGTTGCTTCTTGACATTTTTGACAGCGAGCGTGTGGTGTGTTTTTTTTTAATTTTTCATTAAAATAGAGTTGGAATACAGTATATTAGTTTCAGGTGTACAATGTAGTAATTTGACATTTATATACCTTACAGTGTGATCACTACAGTAAGTCTAGTATCCATCTGACACCATGCATAGTTATTACAACATTATTGACTATATTCCCTGTGCTGTACACTACATCCCATGGCTTATGTATTTTATACCTGGAAGTTTGTTCTTCTTGGTCTCCTTCACCTTTCCCACCCATCCCCCACCCCTTCCCTCTGGCAACCATCAGTTTGTATGCTTTATCTATGAGTCTGCTTATAAGTGCGATCACATGGTATTTGTCTTCCTCTGACTCATTTCACTTACCATCATACCCTCTGGGTCCATCTGTGTTGTCCCAAATGGCAAGATTTCATTCTTTTCTGTGGCTGATATTCTACTATATATATGTACCGCATCTTCTTTATCCAGTCGTCTAGCGATGGGCACTGGGTTGCTTCCATGTCTTGGCTACTGTAAATAGTGCTGCAATGAACATAGGGGTGCATATACCTTTTTGAATTAATGTGTTTGTTTTCTTCAGCTAAATGTACAGAAGTAGAATTGCTTGGTTGAACAGTAGTTCTATTTTTAATTTTTGAGGAACATCCGTACCATTTTCCATGGTGGCTGCACCAATTTACATTCCCACCAACCGTGCACCAGGGTTCCCTTTTCTCCACATCCTTGCCAACACATGTTGTTTGCTGATTTATTGATGATGGCCATTTTGACAGGTGTGAGGTAGTATCATTGTGGTTTTAATTTGTATTTCCCTGATGATTATTTTTTTTTAAGACTTTATTTTTTTAAGATTTTTTTTTTCAATTGGGGAATTGGGGGAGGGGAACAGTGTTGGGGAATTGGGGAAGGGGAACAGCCAAGTTGTTGTCATTCAGTCTTAGCTCAGCTGCAAGTCCAGTTGCGCCGCTCAGCTCAAGGTGCTGTGTTCAGTTAGTTGCAGGTGGGCGTAACCACCCTCCCATGCAGGAGTTGAACCAGCAGCCTCATTGTTAAGAGCGCACGCTCTATCCACTGATCCATCCTGGCAGCAGCTCATGGTGCTGAGTTCAGTCTTAGTTGCGGGTGGGTGTAGCCACCATCGCATGCAGGAGTCGAACCAGCAGCCTTGTTGTTAAGAGCGCATGCTCTAGCCACTGAGCTACCCGGGCGGCAGATCAACTCAAGGTGCCGAGTTCAGTCTTTAGTTGCAGGCGGGCAAAGCCCACCATCTCGAACAGGCAACCTTGTTGTTAGGAGCACGTGCTCTCACCAGCTGAGCCATCCTGCCATCTGTTGGCAGCTCACTGGCCCATGTGGGAATCGAACCGGCGACCCTGTTGCTTAGAGCTCACACTCTTGAGCAAGCTCTTAACCAACTGAGAGCCACTCAGCCAGCCCCTGATAATTATTGATATTGAGCATCTTTTCATATATCTGTTGGCCATCTGTATGTCGTCTTCAGAGAAATGTCTATTCAGGTCCTCTGCCCATTTTTTAATCAGGTTGTTTTCTTATTGAATTCTATGAGTTCCTTATATATTTTGGATATTACCCCTTATCAGGTATATCATTTGCAAATATCTTCTCCCAATTCAGTACATTGTCGTTTTGTTTTGTTAGTGGTTTCCTTTGCTGTGCTGAAGCTTTTTAGTTTGCTATAATCCCATTTGTTTTTTATTTGTTTCCCTTGCCTGAGGAGATATATCAGAAAAAAATATTACTAAGAGCAATGTCAGAGAGTTTACTGCCTGTGTTTTCTTCTAGGAGTTTTATAGTTTGGGGTCTTATATTTAAGTCTTTAATCCATTTTGAGCTTATTTTTATATATGATATAGAATGTAATCCAGTTTAGTTTTTTTGCATGAATCTGTCCAGTTTTCCCAACCCCATTTATTGAAGAGACTGTCTTTCCCCCATTGTATATTCTTGCTTCCTTTGTCATGCATTAATTTACCATATAAGTGAGGGTTTATTTCTGGGTCCTCTGTTCTGTTCTGCTGATCTGTGTGTCTGTTTTGGTGCCAGTACCATTCTGTTTTTGATTATATAGCTTTGTCCATGTAGTCTGAAATCAGGGAGCCTGACACCTCCAACTTTGTTCTTAATTCTCAAGATTTGGCTATTCAGGGTCTTTTGTGATTCCATATAAATTTTAGGATTATTTGTTCTAGTTGTGAGAAGAATGCCATCGGTAGTTTGATAGGGATTGCACTGACTATGTACATTGCTTTTTGTAGTATGGACATTTTAACATTAATCCATCTAATCCATGAGCATGGTATATACTTCCATTTATTTGTGTTCTCTTCATTTTCTTTCTTCAGTGTCTAATAGTTTTCAGAGTGTAGGTCTCACACATCCTTGGTTAAATTTATTCCTAAGTATTTTATTCTTTTAAATATAATTGTAAATGATAGTGTTCTCTTAATTTCTCCTTCTGATTGTTTGTTGTTGATGTATAGAAATGCAACAGATATCTGTTTATTAATTTTGTATCCTGCAACTTTACTGAATTTATTTATTAGTTCCAATAGTTTTTTTGGTAGTTTTTGGGTTTCTGTATGTAGTATCCTGTCTTCTGCAAATAGTGAATTTTACTTCTTCCTTTCTAGTTTTGGATGCTTTTTATTGCTCTGATACAGGACTTCCAATACTATGTTGAATAAAAGTGGTGAAAGTGGGCATTCTTGTCTTGTTCCTGATGTTTTGGCTTTTCACCATTAAGTGTGACGTTAGGTGTGGGTTTCTCATATGTTGAAGTATGTTCCCTCTGTACCCACTGTGTTGAGAGTTTTTATCATAAATGTTGAATTTTATCAAATGATTTTTATGCATCTATTGAGATGATTATATGATTTTTACCCTTGGTTTTATTGATGTATTGTATCATGTTGATTGATCTGCATATTGAACCATCTTTGCATCCCTGGAACAAACCCACTTGACCATGGTATATAATCCTTTTAATGGATTGTTGAATTCATTCTGCTAATATTTTGTTGAGAATTTTAGCATTTGTGTTTCTCAGGTATATTGGCCTATAATTTTCTTTCTTTGGCCTGTAATGTCTTTGTCTGGCTTTGGTATCAGGGTGATACTGGCCTCAGAATGAGCTTGGAAGTGTTCTTTCCTCTTCAGTTTTTTTTTCTCATATTTTGAAAAGGATAGAAATTAATTCTTTAAATGTTTGGTAGAATTCACCTATGAAGCTGTCTGGTCCTGAACTTCTGTTTCTTGGGAGTTTTTTATTACTGCTTCAATTTCATTGCTAGTAATGAGTCTGTTCAGATTCTTTCTTCATTGTTTAGTCTAGAAAGTTGTATATTTCTAGAAATTTATCTATGTCTTCTAGGTTGTTCAATTTGTTGGCATATAATTGTTCGTAGTATTATTTTATGATCCTTTGTGTTTCTGTGGTATAGGTTGTACTTTCTCTTTTATTTTGTATTTCTCTGTGGGGGAGGGGTTCCTCAATGAGTCTGGCTAAAAGTTGATGAATTTTGTTTATCTTTCCAAAGAACCAGAGCTTTTAGTTTCATAGTTCTTTTCTTTTTTTAAAAGATTTTATTGGGGAGTTGGGGAATCGGGGAAGGGGAACAGACAAGTTGCTGTCCTTTTGTTCTTCAGTCTAGTTGTGGAGGACGTCGCTTCACTGGCCCATGTTGGTATTATCATTGCGCTCTTCCTCTTCAGTCTAGTTGTGGAGGACGTCGCTTCACTGGTCCATGTTGGTATTATCATTGCGCTCTTCCTGGGGGAGGTAAATCGGTCACTGGCCATTGGATGGCACTCACAGTGGCTCACAGCAGCTCACGCTGGCTGCCAGCCACACACAGTAGCTTATGGCAGCCTCGCTATAGCAGGGGCTACAGCCTACGCCATCCCCGGCAACTCGGGGCAGCCCAGCTCCAGGTTGAGCAGTTGTTTAGCATCTTAGCTGTAGAGGGCACAGCGTCACTGGCCCTCATGTGGGATCCGAACCGGGACCCTGCTGCTCAGAACTGGTGTCCCAAGCCAACTCTTTTTTTTTTTTTTTTTAAGCTGAGCCATCCTGCCACCTGTTGGCAGCTCAGCGGCTGCTCAGCTCGGGCCAGGACTCGAACCACTGTTGCTCAGAGCTCAAGCTGTTGAGCGAGCTCTTAACCAACTGAGCCACTCGGCCAGCAAGCCTTCCAAGCCAACTCTTAACCAACATGCCACTCCGCCAGCCCTCATAGTTCTTTTCTATTGCTTTTTTAGTTTCTAATTCATTTCTTTCCACTCTGATCTTTATAATTTCCTTCTTTCTACTTATTTTGGATTTTGTTTGTTCTTTTCTAGTTTCCTTTAGGTGTAAAATTAGATTTGGGATTCTTTTTCTTAAGGTAGGCCTGAATTGCTGGGAACTTCTCTCTGAGAACTGCTTTTGCTCAATCCCAAACATTTTGGAAAGCTTGTCTTCATTTGTCTCAAGGTAGATTTTTATTTCCCTGCTTTATTTCCTCTGTACAGAATAGACCTGATTCAGGGGAGGAGACTGGGAATCACAAAAAGTATACCCTACTTTTGGAAATTCTGGAATTGGTCTGAGCCAGTGTTTCTAAGACAAGCCCCTAGCTAAGTGATAGGCCCCATTCATTTCACATACAGAGTCCCCTGGGCAGACATGGAGCAAGTAGCGTGACCTGCTCTCACCTGTTGGCATCCTTCAGTCACACCATACATTGGCCCCAGATGTTAGGAACTATGATTAGACCCTCCTTGCCCTGAAACTGAACTCACAGATCTCAGCCAGCTCACCCTGAGAGTGTGGGGAACATGAAGTTCTTTACTTGAGAGTACCATCAGCTGTAAGAAAAACTCAGTCTCAGAAAAACTTAGTATCAGTTTTGCTACTCCTTTTAAAACAGTGATTTGATTTGGTTAGATGAACTACAAAATATATACTTCTAATTAATTTTAAAGGTGCTTTAAAATATCTTAAAGAATAGGAATAGCTATTTGCATTTCCACATCAGTTGTTTTCTGACTTTGGCAAAAAAGATCATTCTTTTGGGGTAAAGAGTTCCAAAAGCTAAGTTCAAATTATAGAGAATCAAAACTGATGATACATCATCACACGAGAACAGACAACGGTCGGACTAAAATGGGAGGCAAATCAAACTTATATTTTGCTAAGAATGCAAATGAGCAGACATTCCTTTAAGCTTACCTTAAAAATGCATGTATTGATTTAGCTTTGAAAAATATTTTCCCTGTGAACACGCCTGGCAGGTGAGTTAGCTCTGCCTTCGGTGGTCGTGCCTGGTCTGTAACTGAAGTCCTTGTTCCTCGGCCTCCTCCAGCTCTCAGGTTGTCAGAACCATGTCATTTTCAAATGAGGGTTGAAGGAAGCGTCGTTATCTGCATAATTTCTAAAATACAATTCTGATGTTTTTCTTTTCTTAGAATGTTATTCCCTGAAGCACAGCGCTTAGAAAGCACCGGAAAACTCTTACAGTGGGCAGACGTGGACCCTACTCTTCGACCCAGGCAACTCACCATCTCACATTTCAGGAGCCTCTGTGATGTGTACCGAAAAATGTGTGATGAAGACCCAAACCTCTTTGCTTATAATTTCAGAGAAGAATCCAAGAAAAATAAAAGCAAAAAGCAGGAAAAAAGAGAATGACAGTGAGAGTTACAGACTATAGCTGCCACTTCCGGGGCGAGCAGCTTACTGGATGTTGGTTTTCACAAGGCCGAGCTTCCCATATGTGGACTCTTTTGCCTTCTACAGAATGACAATAAAAATACCAATTACCGGATGTGACTTCCTTCCCATTTACTGTACAGCTTGGTAGAGAAAATAAATATAATCAAGTTACAGTACAAGCTTTCTTTTAATGTATACTGCATAGATAGGACATGTTTAGTAAAAACAGCATCTATTACAAAAACGAAATATCTGCACATTGTGCCCCTAACCCACATTAAAATAAATATGCTTTAAATAAAGCAAAAACTAACAAAGAAAATGCCCAGAGGACTGGAAAAAAATGACTTTTTTTAAAAGCTATTCATCACAACTTCCCCACCTTACTTTTTCCATATAAATTAAAATAATTAGAATGCAGTTTTAATGATTCTAAGTCATTTTGATACCTGCTCAAAAGGAATATAAACCTAAGTAATTTACAGATTCTGACCAGTTTCATCTAGTTTTCTGATCCACAATAAATTAAAATAACTTAAATCTTTACAACTATCTTGTGGGAAAATGTATACTGCACAAAACCCAATAAGGAATAGTTTTTCTGCAATTTCCACTTTACCACCAGTTTAAAAATAAAACGAGCAGTTCGGTCCACATCTGGATTGAGACTGTACTATGACTTCCCGTGGCTCTCTGTGTCATAAAAACACTCCTCGTTGACCACCGACGTTAAACTCTGGACGCTGAATTCTCGCTCAAGAACAGAATTGAGATCGAGGTTGGCGTTTTCAGACTGACTGTCAAGGGACTGGTGACGAATCTGCGCCTTTAGCAGGGTCCCCCTCTCCCTCTTGGTGCTGTTTGCTTTCCGTTTAATGGCGCAGAAGTGCCCCCGGACCAATTTGGGCTGCTGCCCCCTTCCCGGCTGGCTGTCCGTGCCAGGCTGCGGCTCAGCCAGATGGGCATCCGGGTCCTCGGAGATCCTTAGTCTCTCAAACTGAATCTCGATGTCTTTGGTAGGGCTGCCCTGTTCCCGAGTCTGGTGGCAGTCGTCCTCTTCGTCGCTCAGAATGTCGCTCTCTTTGATGAGACCCTCTGAAAAGTCTGTCACGCCTGTCGGGGGGTGCTTCTGGGCGTCCTGCTGGCCCCCGGCCGCGTGGCAGCCGCTGTCCTGGGTGCTGCTGCTCAGGCTGCACTCGTCGGAGCCCAGCGAGCTGCCCTTGCCCGGCTCGCTGGGCCACTCGCTGCTGGAGGAATTCTTGAGGACTTTTAAGGACCTGGATGAAGCTGCAGGAAGAGAAACACATTTCCCTTCGTGATCAACAGACTCCACTGTGTGCAGTGTTTGTATGGTAAGTTACCTGATTTAGCATCTTAATTACTTAAGACTGTATCAGCTCACTTCAGTGACCAACGATCCTGGGACTTGAGCAAAAAAACACGTAGGTGATGCTAGTGTGGAAATTTTTGCTCACGTTTATCTGAAACTTTAAGTCAGGGAATTTGGCATTTTTAGATGACCAGTTATCCAAGCTCAATTATTTAGATAGAATAAATTACAAACTATCATAAGGGCTGAGGTTTTTATTTTGCCAATGGAGAAATGGAAAAGTTAGTTATTAATAAAACCTACGTTCCTTTTCTTCACCAACATACTTAGTAGTTTGATAGCCAAGATTACATGCTGTTTCTGTGCCTACCTCCTCGCCTTTACTTCCCTTGCTGCTCAGTTAAAAGTAGAAAAGTGCACTTTATCTCTCATGAGAACTGTCTGCGCGAATTTCTAACCAACTTTCCAAGATTTACTATGAATATGTAATCATTTGTGTATGGGTTTCATTCCTTTCTCTTGGGTTGAAGCGGGGAGAGGGAGCTCTCAGTTGTGGTGTTTCTGCAGACAGCAGCCTGTTTTCGATGCCACAGCTGCTTTGGGCAATAGAGGAAAAAATAGAAAATACACAGTAAATCTGAAGAGGGCAAACTGTGACCAAAAAGGATATGCATTTTGTAAGACTAAAAACAACATCAAAGATAATAAGGTTGTTAATATAGAAAGAAAATTCTAAAACCTTAAGCTGAAATTTCAAAAATAGGCAAAAAGTTTAAGAACAGCATGATTCAGAATGTTTACCTGCTGACTTATTAATTGGGTAAAAATGAGTATTTAGGTTTCTTGATCTTAATTCATGAAGTACTGACTCTAATTGGGAGTGGTTATATTTTATAAAAGGTCTGGGAACAAGAGGCATATTTAGGTTTCTTAAAAGGAAATAAAGTTGCCACTACCTTCTCACACTGGGTATTTGGGTGTCTGGTTTAGAGCTTACAAAGTTACTGCTGATAATTTACAAAGTGATGACTTACTGCTGTATTATAAGAGCGTGTTTCCATGTCTTGGCAACCTTGAATCATGCTGCAGTGAACATAGGGGTACATACAGTGTTTACAACCTAGGTGTCCTTTGATGGGCGACTGGATAAAGATGGGATATCTATATAGATATAGATACAGATATCTTTATATAGATATAGATAGATACACAATGGTATAATACTCGTACTCAGCCATAAGACGAAATACTGCCATTTGTGACAAGATGGATGGATCTTGAGATTATCATGCTAAGTGAAATAAGTCAGAAAAAGTCAAAGACTTCACTCATATGTGGGATATAAAACTGAAAGCAACAGACAACAGTTTAGTGGTTACCAGAGGGTAAGGGGGGAGAGGGGCAGTAGAAGAGGTAAAGGAGGGTCAAATATATGGTGATGGAAGGAGAACTGACACGGGGTGGTGAACACACAATGTGCTATTTAGATGATGTATTATGAAATTGTACATTTGAAGCCGATACGATTTTTTTAACCTATGTCATCCCGATAATTTTTTTTTTTTTAAGCATGTATCCTTTAGAGAAGCTCTGTTTTTTGAAACTCCACGAGGCTAGCACAGTTCTCACCTAATTTGGCTGAAACAGGCACGCGGTTCTTCATCGGGACCAGGCGGTCCTTACACGTTTTCTCCAGGGGTAATTCACACTTTATGTGACGCCTGAAGTTTTCCCTCAGAATAGATCGGATCACCTTGACAATGTTGGTTTTGCTTTCGCTGTCACTGGGGGGGGGGGGGGGGGGGGGGGCCGAGAGGGAGAGAAAGAGCAGCATCAGTGTCATGGTGCTTCGAGTCCACGTTCCCTGGTCCTCCCGGGACACATTGCAGGTCTCAGGACAGACTGCCAGCAAGTCACCAGCCTGTGTGCCGTGGGCTCCTCACTTACAAAAGGAGTGAGAACTGAAGATCTTTTGAACACTAGGATTTGGGTATGTTTTTGATCAGTGTATTCTAGAACCACAGTTCAGGAGGGCACTAAAAATTAACTCCCCATCTTAAGAGTGCGTCATTCTGTCTTCCTCCCATTGGCTTTAATTTTTGGAAGTCAGTAATACCTGCAGCACAACTGAAAGATGGTTTCTGGCCGTCCTTCTATTTCTGACTTCGTGTGGATCAGCTCCCACAGGGAATTATTTTCGGAGCCTGTGTGAAAGGCGATACAAACAAGAGTCCACAACTTTGCCAAACAGCCCGTGGTTAAGAACACTTGTGAAGTTTAAAACACATCATTTAATGACTCTTTAAAACATCAACTATGCCCAGTCCCAACTCATCATTTTCTTCTGTGGCTTATTCTGTGTATGACTTTCACAAAAAGCAAAACGCTTTCTAGTTACTTCTTAGCATGCCCTGCTGAAGTTCCCATCCATCTGAGTGCCCCCGCCCCTAACCCCTGGATTCCATCTCTGTGGGGAAGAGGGGAAGTGGCTCCTGTTTTCAGACCATTCCTTGGAAGGAACAGTAGGAAGTGCTTCAGGTAAGAGAGGTCAGCCCCAAGTTTGTCATGTTCTAGGGAGCGTCAGCACGTCGACAGAAATCAGACACCGGGACGTCACTGCGTGCCTTAGCCTGTCAGTCCTTTCCATCACCAGAGGCACAGTCACCAGAACATGTTATTCTGGAAGGATCGCTGAATGTTGTACAGGGTTGAAGATTTTTTTTTTCTTGTTTATACACCATTTATGATATTGTTCTCTCTCAAGGAATTTTCTGGTGAATCCAAATTTGTAAAACCTTAAATTGATGGACCTTTGTTTCTTTAACAAATTTTAGGGTATCGAGGATATTAGGCAGAAAGAAAAAAATGTTGAAAAACTGTTGATAGTGAAAAGAAGAAAACAATGAAGTATTTAGCCAAGAAAAACCATCCATTCGCATTTACTTTCTTCGCAAGTCTGTAAGGAGACATCAAAGCAACCTCTCTTACCTTCGTTCCCTTTTCTGTATAACATCAGAAACAATCCCCAAGGTTCTAACCTATTTTTTCATCCCACCATTCAAATAAATGTCTTACGATGTTGTTTTTTTTTTTTCTTCCTGGCATTGTACTACATGAAACAATTACCTGCTGTATTCCCCAGTCTGACTTGAAGTGCGGATATGGGGACCAGCCAGCGGAATTTAAATGGGTCCAAGTCAGCAGAGCTGTGAGGTGGCCGGGAATTCGAGGGCTGGAATGTGAAAGCCCCCAGAAAAGTGTCACAGCAAGCTCTCACACAGGGAGGGCGCGCGCACAGTAGGGGCCCCCTAAGTCCTCCCCGGTGCCAGGCTCTGTGCAGCTGTGGGGGTGTTCCTGTGCAGAAATGCTTCCACTCGGGCATGCTCACAGACTGGGCAGGGGTAGGGCAGAGGCGGGGTTGGGGGAGCAGGGAGTTCTTGCTTGTCCCAAGCAAAAATGACAACCAAGCCTTCCATGTCCTCACATTACCTCTGAGTGGTAGCTGATGGCTTATAGTAGCCACAGCTTTTTTTTTTTTTTTGTAAGTCAAGGTAAAAGTCACTTGAAACGAAAGTTACACAGACTCTCATGTATATAGAGCAAACCTGGGCCATTTTCAGGGATATAAAAGCTGGTTTGCTATGTATTCTGTGAAGGCCCCAGCATGGGTATTTGTCTGCATCTTCTTTTAAAACATACATCTTTTGTGGGAAGAATAAGAAATACCTTAAGTATTTGATTTGCTCAGCTGCCCTAGGAATAAGTAATATCAGCCTGTGAGGCCTGGGTGCTTAGCTGGCATCTCAGGTCAACGTTAATAGGAAGATACAGCCATGAAACAGTAGCTTTCATTAAAATTAATTCTTGTCTTACCAATTTCTTTTTCAGTTTGCAGTTTTCTTTATAAACCAGTATGACAGCTCTCTTAAAAACTAAAGAAAAGAGAAAGAAAAGGCTTTCATTATTTTATACAAACTCTTCCAAGGTTGAACAGGAGCTCAACTTCTTAATAGAACAAAGCTCTTCAAACTTAATAAAGCTCCAACGCCCCGCTATGCCAGCACGCGAGCGAATCAGTGGTCCTCCTTCTGTTCCTATTGGAACTGTGCAGAAGCACCTGCTTAGTTAAAAGCTATCAGCTGACGTGGATTCCTGTTTTGTTTTATGGAAGGCTGAGGACACGGTGTTCACCTCAGAGAGACTACACAGTCTACACGCCCTCTGCTGGCTCTCAGTGAAAATTAAGGCATTTTGATGTGCAGCAGACTATTAAGATAACAGGTTTCAAAATAGCCTTGGGACATCTGTTCCTGTAACACTGGGAGAGAGCAGCTAACCCAAGCAGCAGCCGGGAGAGAACAAGATAATGAGTATGCAGAGTGTCCCACAGTTGGAGGCTGGCCGGTAAGTCAGAAGCCATTCTAGCAATGACTAGCTCCTTCTGGACAGGAGTCCAGGAGCCAGCTGGACTGGTGGGCTGGTGAGCTCGTCGCTGCGGCCAGCCCCTTGCAGCTCTCAGCCCTCGGAATGGAATACTCACCAAACACTGTGAGCTCGAGGTCCTTTCTGGCTTTTCCTAGAGACAGAAACGGATTCAACCAGGAAACTGTCGAATGCATCAGAAGTTCCCCCATTGAAAGTTCTGTCACCTGTATTGGAAAGAAGAGGAGATAAACAGGACCTGGAAACCCCAGGGGTAGCTGCATGTTGCACAGCGAATCACATGTATGTACATATACGGTCATGGCTAACAAGCAAGTACACTGTTTGACTTTTATGATGCTGTGAACATGGGGCCTTGAGTAACAGAGGCTTTGAAAATATGAGCTAAGCATCACACTTGTTGAAAAAACATAAATGTGAAAGCATTTTGCTTTGATGCACATATCATGTGCGGGTGACACTTGCCTCTCGACCTACTCCTTCCACCGCAATGTCAAGGTTCATTCAAAGTGCCCTTGTCAACGTTTCTCCCAGGACCTAGTAAGTTACCATCGCTAATCCATAAACCACACTAGGCCTGCTAGTAAAACAGAACCAACATGGAAACGGACTGTAATAAAAAATGAAACTCCAGCTGTCGTCTGTTCTTGCCTTTTTCTACTTAAACTGTATTGCTTCACATATGTACACTTTAGGAGCTGAAGAGTCTAAATTCAGTAATCAGCCCCCCAAAAAAAAGATACAGAGAAAACGCCCTAGATGCTCCCCGCACGCTGGCTCCCACTAACTCTATCCATCCTCTGTCTTCCAGCTCACGCTCTCCACGGTCGTTCCAGCCTCTGCAACGGTGTCACCTCATGCCCCACGGGAAAGCAGGAAAAGGCAGGGATATGAGCTCAGTGACCTTGTTTTCTTTTGTACAGTGTGAACATGACAGAAGGTTACATTTTTAAACCAGTGTAATGAATTTTATACCTAAACTGTGTGGATTATAAGCATTGAGATTACAAGGAAAAATTTAGGCATTCTCTCCTCCAGAAAAACCCTGACAGGGCGGCCCAGCCTGGAGGTCACCCAGACCCAGCGAGGACGTGCGTGAAGCATCTCAGAATGCAGACGTCCCACCCACCTCCTTCTCCGTCCCACTCTGCTCTGCGACAAGCTGGTCAAACACAGTCCCGTAGTCCTCATATATCTTCTGCATCTCGTTGATATGGCTTGCTACTTTTTCCATTGCCTTTAGTGCTTCTGCAAAATATGAAATCACACTTTTTGTATCATTTTTGTTTGTTTGAAATCCTATCCCACAGCAGTAATGAAAAAGCGGAAGATTCAAGCCAGGATTCAAGGCCAGTTCTGACCAGCAGCAGGTGCAAATCAAACAGCCCATTATAATCTAGTCATTAAAATGAAGGAGAGTAGAATTATCTTCCACCTGAAATTCTCTTTGAAATGAGGCAGTAAGTTTTTTTAAAAGTATCCCTCATAATAAGAGCTCACATTCCTTGAGCACTTTCTATTTGGCATGTACTGTGATGCGTAATTTATGGGAATCGTCTCACTCCCCACAATGACTCGGTGACAGGAGGAACTATACCCAATCCTATTTTACAGATGAGAAAACTGAGGTGCATTGGGGTTAAGGGTTTTGCCAGACTTCCAAAGAGAGAAAGAAGGAATGGAGCCAGAATTTGAACCCAAGACCAAGTGGCTGCAAGGCACCTGCTCTTAAATTTTGCCTCTCCTCCTGGACCAATTACTGGAATTGGATCTACAACAGTTTTTTAAGAACTTACAAATGTCTCTGTAAATGCTTAATTGCCAGAGAAACTGTTTGCATTTATGCATGGTGTTTACTTAAAACGTTTTACACAGGCCTGTGAGGGACAAGATGATTTTGTCGAAGGCGGAAAGCAAAATTTCGGGTCACCTCATACTTTGTTCTTCTGACTCCGCATTTTAATTCAGCTGGAGGGACTGTTGGGAAGCAGTTTTTAACAGAACCCTTTTAAAGATCATCTTGATGCTAAATGAATTTTCCATACAGCACTTTAAACACCAATCATAATTTGTACCACTTATATAATTAACTTGCATACAAAAAATATTGTATTCTTGTTACTTAGGCTACAGGAGTTCGCTTGTCACAGTAAAGGAGCCAGTTTAATTGACACTCTTCTCAGTGTCTATTATTCAGTAACGCTAACACTTAGTTAAGTTCTTCTCTTTCCAGGTATTTCTTCACATGTAGCTTAACTGGCCCTCCTAGTTTTGATACATGGAGAACATCACTGTTTCTGTCTAATCCAAACACAGCATCTGTTTAAGGGAGACTCTATTTACTATCAAACCGAGGGGATTTGTGTATGTGACAGCGTGTCTTAGGCCAGTAATTTCCGAGGTGACAAAAGAAGACACATCAGCATCCACTTTAAAGCTTAACCTGTCATTAGGAGTTTGTATTGGGAGTCAGGCTCTGCTTGGAAATTCCCACAAGGTGGAGCCTCACCCCCAGCGTATTTGATCAGCAGCCATCTGGGCAGCGAACACCAGAACTTTTCAGGTCTCGTAGAAAAACAGGCCTTATTATCGGTTCTCGCAGCACTGGTTGCTAACTCAGTGACCTGACTCAATGTATTTCAAGTCACTGAGCTTAAATTACCTCCTTATGAAAATGAAGACGGGATCATCCCTCCAGAGGGACTTGGGGCTGCACCAAGGAGATCCTCTTGCCAAGTATTTTGCCCATCTGAAGGGATGGCCCTATATCTAGCAATTTTCACGTATTAAACTTAGACCTAAGGTGCACAATCGTAGTCCCGAGAAGTGTTTCAGAACATGAAACAGCCGGGGCCACGGGGGCCGTGCAGGCTTAGCAGCCAGGTTGCATCCTGGGCCCCTTCGTTCTCACCTGTCAGATGATAGTGCTCCTCGCTGTCCTGGTCTGTCAGCGACACGAGCTCCTTGAGCAGCAGTGGGTACTTAAGCACCCTCTGAACGGGCTTGATGAGGTACGACTCCAGCGTGGAGGAGTGCTGCTTGGTGGGGTTCCGGGCATCCAGGAAAGCCTTGAAGGCTTTGTCAGTTTTAGCTACAAGCAGATGGATGAGAGACCCTTAGAAGAGCACAGCAGGATGAACTCTGCACTTCATTTCGTTTTCAATGGGCTTACAGATCAATCCACTTCTAGCGTCCTCCTAATGCCATTCTTGAATAAAAACCCAAATGCATCAGTAGGTCAAGCACCCGGCTGTCAACCTGGATTGAGCATCACAGCTGTGACCAATCCCACGGGCAATGGGACCTTACTAGGCTGCCAGAATAGTACAGTCCACACACTAAAGAGGATTGCCAAGTAAAACACAGGAATGTCTAACTCTAAAGGCACATTTAGATGCAGACCCATGAGAGAAATGGTGACAGGTACTAAAAAAGTGAGTTTCAAACAATTCATAAGGCCATAAAACAATGTTATCGGGTCCTACACCATAACCCCCTCCCCAAAAGATTCATGTAGCAAAATAAACCAGTATTTTTTTCAACTGCCCTAGCACAAATTGTTACTTATCCTATAAAGTATTCATAAAGCAATACCATTTTTTTTCCTTTAAAATAAGTTAATTAGCACTTCAGTCTCCACCTCCACAGCTCCGAGCAGTGGAAACTTCCACCAGCTATAACAAGCACACTCCTCTGGGCAGTGAAAACTGCCTGTGGGTTTGGTGTCTGAGTGTCATGAAGGGTGCACACCAGCCAAGTGCATGTAGTTTTGAGAGTGCCAGTGGACACAGCAGCTGCTGCTTTGGTTGACCAGCTGTTTGGAATTCAGCCAATTTGAATGAAGATATACCCTTCTATGGGGGGTTGTTACAAAGGCAAAATCTACAACTTCTAGGAGACAGAGCCATTTGGAATGGGACCACCAAAGTGGGTGGAGGGATGATCCTTTATCTTCATGACAAAGGAAAAAGTAGGCAAACCACTGATAAGCTTTTATTTTCTTGTATACTGTCAACAAGGTGTTCCTGGGAGGAAACCCCAGTGGAGTCAGGTCTCTGTTGAAAGAACTAGAGAAGACAGATTTGGGCTGGGTCTTGTTAATTGGAAGCACTCCAGATTCAATTTTTTTTTAACCTGGGCCTGCTTTTCTAGGGTACTATAAAGTTCTGGATTTACACGAAATGGTAGAATTGTGTCAGTCGACCTGATTAAACACTAACAGCGCTGGGATAAACCTCTACATGCCCTCCATGATAGTATGGAGAGTACTTTTACTGGTTTTGAGAAAGAAACATTGAAGAGCAAACTCTGGAACCTTTCTGACAATGTCGTTAAGAAGCATTTGATAACAGCTAGAAGAAGGGGCTTGGAACTTAGCTTGACTGCTAAGACCCTATTGACCCAACTAAAAAAAAGTTCAAATGTAGAACACTCGGCAAACATTTCCCATTGTCATGGAAGAGAGTCTTGATTCACGGGCTGCTAGGAAGGTAGCAAATCATAACAGGAATGAACCACATGAGGCCATCCTTAGTTCTGAAGAAGGCATTCAAGTCCTGGGGGAAGTCATTTTTATCCTGGAAATTTATGACATTAACAGCTCAAGCTTCAGTAGATTTGAATCTTGTTTCCAAGCACTTGAGAGAATACAAGTAACCTGGTGACCTTTTCTGGAGGCAGTTCAGATAACCTAAATAGCACTAGATGTATTCTCGTAAGACGCCTTCCACCGTACAGGAGGAGCGAGACCCCTGAGGACCTGTATGTGATGTTACCCATGAGGACTGGATTACTACCGCTCAGGGCCTTGAGCTAACGTCCTGTGCCTGCCAATGTTTCCTCCTCTTGCTACCAGAAATGAGCATTCCAAAGAGTGGGACAGAAAAACACCTTCTGAAACAGACATCTGAGAATTCTAATCTCAAACCTACAGAGGTGTATGGTGATTGAAAGAAACCTTCAGTAATAGGATAGCCTCCATTAAGCATTCCTGGTTTAGGGTATTACAGGAATACATTGACTATCAGGTAATGACAATGATGGTGACTGCAACACAAAAACTCCCCTCCAATACTTCCACACCCAAAGTAGGTCATTATTGTCATCAGATCTTTGAATATACTTTCCAGGCTGGACTGATGCCCAAGTGAATCATTGTTCTGACTATCTGCCCCCAAGCTGACCCCTGCAAGTCAGCCGCCAAAGCTCAGGCATCGCTCTCAGCTCCACAGAGGAAGGTTTGCTGTTGGCGTGAAGGGGAAGGTCAGTGAGGGTTGACCACCCAGGTCTACTTGGACTTAAAAAAACTAAAAGTCTTCAATTGAAGCCAATAAAGTAAAGATGATAAAAGTGTGGGCAGATGAAAGGTACTGCAATGACAAGATGTAAGCTGTAATAAATGTGAGTTTTTTCCAGTTCTATCAAAGAGGATTTAATTTTAGGTAACACATTCCTTATAAATTTTATGGTGATTGTCTGGCGGTGGTTTTTTGTAGTTATTCCTCAGACTTAAGAAGAAGGCAAACAGGAGAGTTCTGGTCAAAATGGTGGAGTAGATAAATGCTGTGCTTGCCTTGTCCCATGACTACATCAAAATTACAACTAAACTACAGAACAATCATCATTGAAAATCACCTGAAGTCTAGCTGAACTGAAGCCCTACAACTAAGGACATACAGAAGCAGCCACCTTGAGACTAGTAGGAGGGGTGGAGCCATGGAACAGGCTGTTCCCACACCTGCGTGTGATCATTAAAAATTGGGAGGGGTATCTCAGCTGTGGAGGTTCCCTCTGAGAATTGAGGGGTCCCAGCCCCACACCAGGCTCCTCAGCCCAGGGTTTCAGTGCCAGGGAGAGAATACATACATTCTGGCCGTGAAAACCAGCAGATTGTGGCTGAGTGAGACGGAGGGCAGCTGCAGCCCCAGCACTCCTCTTAAAGGGACCACACGTGGACTTACTCTCTGATGGACTCAGTCCCTCTCAGTTCCAGTGCTGGGGCACCAGTTCGAAAGGCAACAGGGACATATGGGGAGGAACTGAGTTGTCTGGCTGCAGGGTGAGGGCTGGAGGGGCAGCTTTCTCCTGGATGGAGGAGCTGGCAGAAGCCACTGCTCTGTGGAGGCCTCCCCCTCCTGGTGTGCAGACTCAGGTAAGTGCCAAATCTAAGTCTCCATCAACCTGGCTAGCATGTTTGCCCTACCCTGGTGATTCCCTGGGACCCCACCCCACCCCAACTTGTGGGCCGACCCAAGCCACTTCCAGTGGCTTTTCCATACAAATGGACTGTCTTGCCTCATGCTGTGGACTTTCCTAAAATCTCTCAAAGGTTCACAAGTCCCAAACAAGCAGCATCTGGCCTCGGTGTGCCTCCTACCTCTTGTTAAACAGCCCCAAGCCTGGCACTAGCAGCAGCCAGCCTTAGTTTGCAGCTTATCCTCTCCCATGTGACGCCAAGCTCAGCACACGTGGCAACCATCTGCAGATCTCTTAGTAGCTCATATCAAGTGTCCCTAGGCAGGGCACAGGTAGCCGCTGACCATGACCTGCAACAGAAATTCTTCCAAGAGGCCCCAGAACCAACATATCTGGTAGCCAGCTTCAGACCACACCAGAGCACTACCCAGCCATTTCCACAAAAGACACACCCAAAGGGCAGACTGGGAAGGCACCAGAGCCCTGGTAAAGCAAATCCTGCTCCATAGAGTCAGTCCCTGCACTACAGCTCCTCCACTGTAGTCATGGCCAGTCCTCACTGATCAGCCTGCGGGCCAGTCCCTCCCATTGACCAACAGCAACCAAGGCTCAAATAAAACAGAAGAGCGAACACAACCCACACAAGAGACACACCTGGAGGACCCAGCTCTGATGACCAGGGAGACTGTGCCACTGGGCCCCAAAGGACACCTACTACCTAAGGCCACTCTACTAAGACTGGGTGGCATAACAGCCCTACCTAATACATAGAAACAAAGGGAGGCAGCCAAAATGGGAAGACAAAGAAACGTCCCAAATGAAAGAACAGAACAAAGACTTAAAAAGAACTCAACAAAATGGAGACAAGCACTTTACCAGACACAGAGTTTAAAACACTGGTGGTAAGGATGTTCAGTGATCTCGGTGAGAATTTCAACAAAGAGATAGGAAGCATAAAAATGGAGACAGAATACTTGAAAAAAAACCAGCCCAAAATGAAGAATATGGTAATTGAAGTAAAGAATACATTAAATGGAATCAACAGATTAGATGAAGCCGAGAATCAAATCACTGATTTAGAAGATAAGGTAACAGAAATCACCCAATAAGCACAGCAAAAAGAAAAAGATTCCAAAAAAATGAGGATAGTTTAAGCGGCCTCTAGGACAACATCAAGTGTACCGACATTCACATCATAGGTGTACCAGAAGGAGAAAAGAGAAAGCAAGGGATTGAAAACCTAACTAAAGAAATAATAACGGAAAACTTCCCTAACCTGGTGAAGGACACAGACATATATGCCCAGGAAATGCAGGGAGTCCCAAACAAGATGAACCCAAAGAAGCCACACCAAGACACATCCTAATTAAAATGCTAGAGGTTAAAGACAAAGACAGAATCTTAACAGCAGGAAGAGAAAAGCAGTTAGTTACCTATCAGGGAGCTCCCATAGACAACCAGCTGATTTTTCAACAGAAACCTTACAGGTCAGAAGGGATTGGCAGGAAATATTCAAAATGATAAAAAGCAAGGACCTACAACTAAGAATAGTCTACCTAGCAAAGCTATCATTTAGAATCAAAGGGCAGATAAAAAGCTTCTCAGACAACAAAAAGCTAAAGGAGGGGCTGGCAGAGTGGCTCAGTTGGTTAAGAGTTAGCTTAAGAGCACAAGCTCTGAGCAACGGGCCCACCAGTTCAATTCCTGCATGAGCCAGTGATGCTGCGCCCAAGCTGAGCTGCCGCTGAGCTGCCAACAGGTGGCAGGATGTATCAGCTGGTGAGAGCACATGCTCCTAACAACAAGACTGCCTGTTCGATGGTGGGCTACGTCCGCCCGCAACTAAGACTAAATTCGGCACCTTGAGCTGAGCTGCCATCCGACGGCTCAGTGGATAGAGGGTGCGCTCTTAACAAGGCTGCCAGTTCGACTCCCACATGGGATGGTGGCTACGCCCACCTGCAACTAAGATTGAAAACAGCACCTTGAGCTTAGAGGCCACGAGCTACCGACGGGCAGTCAGATGGCGACTGTCGCCCTCTACAACTAAGATTGAAGAACAACAACTTGGCTGGTCCCCCTCCCCGATTCCCTAACACTGTTCCCCTCCCCCAATTTTCCAATTTAAAAAAAAAGAAAAAAGCTAAAGGAGTTCCTCACTACCAAACTAGTTTTATAAATAATGTTAGAGGGACTTCTTTAAGATAAAGGAAAAAAAATTCAAAATATGAATAATACAATTGCAATAACTACATCTATCAATAATTACTTTAAATGGATTAAATGCTCCAATAAAAAAATATAAGGTGGCTGAGTGGATAAGAAATAAAGACCCTTACATATGCTGCCTACAAAAGACTCACTTCATATCAAAAGAGACACAGACTAAAAGTAAAGGGATGGAAAAAAGATATTTCATGAAAATGGAAACAGGAAAAAAAAACTAAGGTAGCAATACTTATAACAGACAAAACAGACTTTAAAACAAAGTTATTGTAAGAGACAGAGAGACCCAGTAATCCCGATTCTGGGTATTTATCCAAAGGAACCCAAAGCACTACTTTGAGGGAAAATGTGCATACACATGTTCACTGCAGCATTGTTTACAATGGCCGAGATGTGGGGGCCGTTTGGATGGCCAGCAGTGGATGAATGGCTAGAGTAGGTGGTACTTATATACAATGGAATATTACTCAGCCATAAAAAAGAATGACATCTTGCCATCTGCAACAACACAGATGGACCTAGAGTGTATTGTGCTGAGTGGTGTATGTCAGACAGAGAAAGACAAATGTCATATTATTTCACTTATATGTAGAAGCTAGAAAACAAGATAAATGAACAAACAAAACAGAAACAAGCTCATAGATATATTGGGCTGTCGGAAAAGTCATGACGCATTTTTGCAACGAAAAACATAGAAAAAATACGTCATGACTTTTCCAACAACCCAATAGAGAACACTGTGTGGTTTCCAGATTGGGGAGTGGAGGTTAAGGGATGGGTGAAGGGATAAGGGGATTAAGAGGTACAAACTGGTAATTACAATATAGTCACAGGGAAGTAGAGTCTAGTATAAGAAATATAGTCTGTAGTATTGTAACAACTATTCATGGTGTCAGATGGGTACTGGATTTATCAGGGTGATCACTTTGTAAGGTATATAAATGTCTTATCACTGTGTTGTACACCTGAAACTAATATAAAATTGTATGTCAACTGTAGTTGAAAAATTTTTTAAATACTTAAAAATAAAGAAAGAAGAAGGTTAACACGAAAGAAAGAAAACAGTGTCCATTCCTTTCTACCTCCATTCAGAGGCTTATGGTTCCAAGTTTTTAGATAAAGGAATTTGGGGTGGGGGGCAGGGAAAGAATCCAGATGTAATTTAACAGCAGTGACACATGGCAAAACAACATCTCTGCTCTTAGGACACATGTCACCATTACCCATAGGCTGAAATCAAAAACCTTCCCTTAAATGTCTGTCAAAGTCAAGTTCAAGAATGATCTATTCATGTTGCACTTATTCCTACTTGTTAAATACAAATTTAATCTTTGTTAACTAAAAATACAAAAAGCACAGCTATGAAAGTTACGAGCAACTTACCTCGCTCTAGAACCTTCTGTACTTTAATATGATTGGCACAGAATCCGCTGTACAGTTTGAAGTGGTCCGCATAATAAAGGAAAGAGCCTCCGAGGGAGAACAGCAATTTCTAGAAAGGGAGGGAGAAGTCTCGTCAGACACGATGTGGTCAGTGTCCGCTGGCTGTGGCATGGCATTTGATGGCTTTGGAGTCTCTAGACATTTGTCTTTCAGATACCAAAGAACTGATGCCCCAGAGAAGTGAACGAGTAAAATAAGCCCCGTTCGCACAGCAGATGGAAAGCAGCCCTGGCGTTCCCTTAGCAGGTCTGTAGTTGGATTGAAACCTTTCTTGTAGAGGAGCCTATTGACATGGGGTGCAATCAGAGGACAAGAAACAGTTCTAGAAGAACACATCGGACCAAGTGGGATCTAAATGATCTGAGAGGCTAATTAATCAAGCTGACCCTGCTTTACTTGGGATGAAGGATGCTATCTATGTACTTCCCTGGCCCTTTCTACTGCCTTCCCTGGAGGGGCTTCTTGTGCCCACACTGGAGACAGGGCTGCAGAGAAGAGAAGCCTCTCTCAGGAAAATCTACCTATGCCTCTCATCTCAGTGTCACAGGACCATGGAGACGGTGAATCTCGGTTCAGAAGCAATCGCCCTACACATTCTTCCATAGAGCTGAATAAACAGCACGGACTGGCCAACAACCAGGCAGACGCCACCCAAGTCATGCTGCCTGGACTGCTGATTACCAGAAGCACTGACTCTAGGACAAAAATGCAGCCTTTTTTTACCACCTGCCAGAGGAAAACAGTGCGATGCATGCACTAAATTTATCTTGTCAATAGGCAAAGGGCAAATTATTTTTCAAGGGAGAATTCTGCACTGTACCCAACCATGTTTGCTTTAAACTTAAGTCTAAACTACTTACTCTAAACTGCGAGGGGGTTTCAAGTAGGTTAAAGTCGGATGATGCTGAAATCCCATCTTCCAGAGTCTCCAGAAACACCTTTTGAAATTCGAGCATCTCTGGCAAACTTCCAAAAAGCGACTCCATCTATGTGAAGGCGAGGGTTTGAAAAGTGGGTATTAGCAATAAAGATCTAGACACTGCTCTACCTCTCAGATGCACAGATAAAGCACAAGTTATTCATGAAGAAGTAGACACAAGTAAATCCTTTCAAGAAGACAACATATTTGTTATGGGGTATAGTTTATGCATAGAGAGTTTGCCAGGGATAGTCCCTATAACTCTAAGACAACTTTTTAAGTGTATGTGAAATTTGAGAATTCAAATTGGGGAAAAATGAAAAGTCAGTAGAAAGGAACTAATCACTGTGATTTAACATTAAAAAGTCATGTATTAAAGAGTAATTTTCGGGCCAGCCAAGTGACACGTTGGTTAAGAGTTGGCTTGAGAGCGCGAGCTCTGAGCAGCAGGGCCCAGGTTCGGATCCCACATGAGAGCCAGTGATGCTGTGCCCTCTACAGCTAAGATGGTGAACAACAGCTGGACCTGGAGCTGGGCTGCCATGAGTTGCCGGCTATGGCGTAGGCTGCAGTGAAGCTGCAGTGGGCTGCTGTGAGCTACCGTGAGCGGCCAGCAGCCAGCGTGAGCTTTCGTGAGCTGCCATGAGCAGCCGTCCAATGGCCAGTGAGCGACTGTCTCACCCAGGAAGAGCGCAATGATAATACCAACGTGGGCCAGCGAAGTGATATCCTCCACAACTAGACAAAAGGACAGCAACTTGTCTGTTCCCCTCCCCCAACTCCCCAATAAAATCTTTTAAAAAAAGTAATTTTCAGTCACACCTTCGACTACAAAAAAAGGGTGTGACGGTCCTTCTGTGTTTGTAAACTCTTTCCACTGCACTTCACGCAGCAGAGGCCACATACATGGCTCTGGAGGAGGCCATGCGTGGGTCTCTCTGAAGATCCGTAAGTCTCAGATGTTCTTTGGGGATTAATACATACAATCTCGTAGGTCTGCTAAGAGGCAAACAGACTAAGCTATAGGTCAGTGAACAGAGGTGATTATTTACCTCATCTTGAGTGAGAAAGGTCTCATTCTGAAGTGGCTCCAAGTATAATTCAAACAGGCAGCTCAGATCCTGAAAGACATAAGAAAGGGCGTCTTTCACACTCAAGTCTCTAAAATACCTGTGAGTTTCCAGCAACCCTGGCCACAGCTCCAGGTTCCCATTAGGAATGATGAAGTTCACGCCTCGCTGAAATTCTTGCCGCTCAAAGTGGCTGTTACTGCTTCCCTAATGCAAAGAGGTTAAAGACACGATCCACTCGGCAGCTGGAGTCCATGTTTTCCTTTACAGCTCGATCTCCTACTCTGCTTAAGGAAACATCTTGTTGGCAAAGTCAGGACCTGCCTTTACACTCATCTCCCTGAAGAGAAGTGAGCTCTGGCCAGGAGCCTCTGTCAGGTGGGGCCTCCTCTGCCTCAGGGAGTATAGTGACAGCTCCTGCGTGGACATGAGAGGGGCAGGACAATATCTGGGGGGCTCTTCCATTTGGGGGGTTCAAGTATTAGCAGAATTTCAAACTCCCATGTTCAAATGCAAGGAAAAAATTCCAAATATTAGCCGTCACATTTTGGTCTCCAGTAAACTGGACACAAGGAGTACAGAACAGTGGGAGTTCACTATATTCACAAAACCCTTTAAATAAAGGGTGTTTCTATTTAATAATTTGAAGCCAAGACTGGGATATAATTTAGTGATAGAAAAGATTGCTTTTTCTTGTTTCACGTGTTCTGAAGGGTTTTTGATCCTAAAATACCAGAGCAGTTGACTACAAAGTTGGCAGCTCTGCCTCCCTCCTTTTTCAATGGAGAAATCTAGACCTGCAGAGCTTTGTAAAGACTGACATTTCCAGAACCTTCTGGAAATGTGGACAGGCCTCCGTGGCCTTCCCTCCCTCACATCTCCCCACAGCACAGCGGGGAGAAGTGAGAAGTTACTGGATCACATCTCAGGGAACACACACATGTTCAAATTTCCAAGTCACATGCAGAGATCCAGGTTAGATTAAAGAACAAGTCAAATTCCATGTTAAATGTCGGCAACAGAAAGAAATTTAAAAGAAAAATGACGTGTGTATGAATCACAAGAGACACCAGGTGCTGGTTATTTCATCAGAGACAGTGACAGGCTTTTGTCATTACTCGTGCCAGCTGATGCTGCTAAGGGGACTTACACACTGACAGCAGGTCCACACTGAGCCGTGGGTGCCAAAGAGCTGCCAACTGGGGGCCCTAAGAAAACAAAGTGCAGGTTTCTTGCAGAGAGAAGGGTCCTTTTCTGTGTACTTCACCCATAACATCCATCTCAGCACTTCCCCAGCATCGCCATGGGATGACCCTCCCAGTGCACTGTGGCCTCACAGTAAAATGCAACAGAAATAGTGACAAGGGACTTGGACTCTGTCCTCAACTCTGCGGGTGACAGCTCCATGGCCATCCTCTAGGTGTCAGAGGGGTTCTGAAGCCTCAAACGCCCAGAGTGCATGGAGCTGCTTGGGAAAGGTCACCGTGGCTCACAGGACGATGCAGATTTCCTGTCTGAACTCCCTGGATTTTCACCTCTTCTCTGCACATTAGAAGCAGGACAGGACGTAATGGGAAATGAAATGAAACTGTCATCTCTTTAGCTTTTCTTTCTCCCCTATGGGACCAAAGGAAGGGGCTTTGGGTAATTCTCCTGGGCTACCCGAGAATAAGGCCTTTGGAGAACTCCAGACAAAATGACAGTGCCATTAATGAGAAGGGAAGCTCAGATTTGTCTCGTGGAGAAAGAAGGTGACAGCCACCTGTGTGTGCACACCAACGCTTCACTCATGCACTCGGCATGTCAGAGCTGCTACAGGGCCGGTGGTGTCGACTCCAGGTGAGGGAGGTGGAGGGGACCACTCCAGGCCTTCCTGGCAGACCGAGGCAAAGCCAGACCTGGATCCGCAGCTCACCACCCTGTGCCAGCTGCTTCTAGTCGTGGGCCAAAGAAGTGAGCTCAAAACAGTACAAAGCTTCAGCAAATACCGTATTTCCCCATGTATAAGATGCTCCTATGTATAAGACGCACCTTAATTTTGGGGCCCGAAATTTGAAAAACAAATGTATTACATAAAGTTTTTGAACTCAAGTTTTATTCATCATAAAATTCATACAACTCCTCATCACTGTCAAAACTCCCAAACATTAGCTACAACCACTGTATAAGACGCACTCAGTTTTTAGACCCCAAATTTTTTTTAAAAGGGTGCATCTTGTACATGGGGAAATACGGTACTTAAAGCAAAAGACCTCTGTCTTCCCAGGCTCCTGTATTCTTCATCAGGTGTTTCTCAAACTACTGCCTGGGGGCTTCTGAGATAAAAAAGTGAATTCTTTGGGACTAAAGATGCTGACCACTCCCTCTTTGTAATCACAAAAGGGGCAACGCCCATGTGATGACAGCCCATGAATCTGGCTGTGTCCTGCACAGCGACCACCCTCAGACAAGCTCGGGGGCCCTAGCAGCGGCCACTCTGAACAAGTCCTGCCCTAGTTTTCCTAGCTCCCTAGAGTGCTCTCCACCCCCCTTTTACTAAACCAGCACGGGCTCCCTTCCCACAGATTGCAAGTGACAAACTAGAACATCTGTTTCCATAGTGAAAGCTACCTTGGTAACAAAATGAGCTGAGAACCTAATTTTCGCCGAGCCCTCTAAGCATTCCCACCCTCTCACCTACCCCCCTTTTCTCCTTCAGCAGTTCCTTTCTTCAGGAGCAGGTGTCTATCTCATGCATGGTGGGGTCCCGGGCAGGTGTCATCCAGGGACCCCTGCCAAGGTACACTGGTCGTCACAGACAGGAAGAGAGAGCAGGACGAAGAGCACAGCCTCTTCGTTACCTTCACATAGGACTTCTCCGTGTCCACAAGCTCCTGGATGACTTTTCGGAGGCGATCTGCATCCGAGAGGTGGCGGGCCAGCGGCCTTGGTGGGGGGTCCCGGCTCTCCCTCAGTCCTTCCATGCCGCTGGCTGGAGTGTCGTGAAAACTCCCACACAGCGCAGCAATCTGCTCAGCACTCTGCGAGATGACAAGAGGTGGAAAATGATGTGCAGGGCACTCTCCGTTCGTATCCGCGGCCCGCCAAGGACACAAACAGTGGCTCAGTCTCTGCCCGGCCCTCTTTCAGGAATCACCTGGGCATATACCTGGGGCAGACGGTTTCCTGCACCACAGACCACTCTGGCCATCATTTAAGATGCCGGCAGTGAGGAGAGGAGCCCATGCTTGTTCTGTATTTACACCTGATGCTGTTTTATTGCCCTCAGAGCTGTCTGATGGATGTCTGTTTAGTACTGAAACTAGAGAACAAGGCATAAGGCTCGCTCTCTGCAATAATGTTGAGGTCGCTCTAAGATCAAGGGCCTGGCTTCTCTAACAGCACAGTGCAAGACAGCCCCACTTGGTCCACTCCGTCCCCTCAGCAGTTCCTAACACAGCTCAGTCTCCCACAGAAAACCGCCCAGGCAGACTCAGGAGTGGTGCGGTGCCACAGCAACCTTAGGATGGCTTGGCCTGCGGACGTGGAGTTCTGCCCTCAACTCGAAGCATTTAGTTCTGCAGTCTCACGCCAAGTAGTAGGATCATGAGTGAGAAAGTGAGCTGCTGCAGATGCCAGGAATGGAAGGAGAGAGAGAGACATACAGAAAAGATAAGGTCCCTACCCTGAAGGGGCCAGAGCCCAGTGGGGGCACAGACAGGAAGCCGATGACACAGCAAAGCTTGGCGAGTGCTGGAGAGGGATGCAAGGGCTCTGTGACAAACCTGCAGGCAGGAGGGGAGCCTTGAGCTGGCCCTTAGATGTACGGAGTCACTGCCAGGCCCAGGGAGTGTGGGGGGCGCGAGGATTCTCATTCCAGGAGGGGGGAACAGAATCACACAGATCAAGAGGCAAGAAGGGGCAGGAATGTCTGGGGGACTAAACAGCCTCCAGTGCCGGGTTCCTAGTTAGACTTTACACACCGTAAAGGCAATAAAACCTCCTCAAGAAGCCGTTTCTGTGAACTCCTGCCTTAGGCTGGTGGTTTCAAGTCTCAAACATGTCTCCGGCATGCTTCCACAGTGCCTGGCATCATCAGATTACATGTAACATGTCTTTATTTACCTGTCCTTCCATTCTTCCCATATACAAGTTCCAGCCCATCTTACCACCTACCAGCCTGTACTACTGTCAAGGGCAGGGCCACACCTTTCTTTGTCATCGCCAACAAGCGCCCAGTCAGTGGCTGGCGCAGTTAAGTGTTCAGTTCACCTCTGTTGCACTGACATTATTACCGAATAACAAAGCAGCTTAGTCCCAATACAAATGACTAATATCCATCCATCCGCCTTTGGCAACTTTCTGTCTCTCAACTAAAATTCTCTTTCCTTCAGTTTAAATGCCCTCGTTCCTAACGTCTATCACTCTGCCTAGTGGAAAAAGCTGCAGGCGTCAGAAGCATCGCTTAACGCTCACGGGATTCATCACTGTGCTTGGCTATTTCAAAACACTGGCAACTGACACAAGCATGTCTGCCCACCTCCGTGAGTGGCCTGGTGCATGCTGGTTATGAAAGCTGTCATCTGACCAATGGAAGTGCCTCAGAGAGAAAACAGGTGTGACACTGGTGTCCTCCCTCTGTTCTACCCACCCCCAACACAGTGCCTTCGACGGATGGAAATATACGATCAACATTGAAACTCAACACTGATCTTCTGGGCTAGTCTTTCAATTCAATTTGACGGGTACCCGTTGAGGACCTGGTCGGTCTCCAGAGAAACAGAAGCCAGCTCCTGCAGAAGGAGCTAAGACGTGCCAAGGCAGACTGAAAACTAACACACGCTTGTGTGGAACGAGTGAAAAATGGGATATGCGTTAACGACTTGAAGCATCGCTTTGGAATGGGCTGTCTGGGAAGGCTTTAGGGATGGAGTGGGTTGGAACGTGGTCTCAGAAGGCGCGTGTTCCGAGGGAACCACAGAACGAGCGAAGGTACAGTGGGAAAATGAGCCCCGCAACGTAGCGAGCCCAACTCAGGGTGCTGAAAGTGAGCCCCCACCCCCAGACGTCTGCGATGGGAACTCCCAGGCCACGGGGCTCTTTAAATCTAACTGCTTCTCTTTTATTTTCCTATTAACCTTGGTACAAAAGTTAGACCAACCATAAAACAGGTACTAAGCCTCCAACTAGACAGACACAAAAAATAGAATTTACTTCTCAAACAGTTCAAAGTATGGGTAAGTACTAACGATTCCCCTTGGAGATGGCCATTATTCACTTGTTTTTGTCCTTAACTGGGAACATAAGCATATTTCTGATAACTCCTGTCAGAAGACATTCGTTCCAGGTACACTTTCAAAGATTAAGAAAACGATGTGGATCATAAAGCACTAATCAGAATGCAACTTCATCTACCAAAATGTCTCATCATCTTTAATAAAACAACTGAATCTTATGATTCATTATTGAAGAAACTCCAACACTGTTCAGTCATGCCCTGAAACCCTAACGACGTGTAGTAAAATCCAAAAGCAGTGCAGCCAAAAGGTGGCTGCCCTGCTCTCCCAGATGCAAGCATCATAAAGAAGCACAAACCACTTTGAATTCCCTTCCTCCCTCTCCCCTTTCCTCTCCTCCTGTCCAGTGGATGTCAACCATGACCACACACTGGCTTTGTTTGGGAGTTTTAAAAAATACACATGCCTGGACCAACTGAATCAGAATCTTTGGGGCCCCAGGTATGGGTATGTTTTAAAAGCTTCCCACATGATGCTAATGTGTGACCCGCGTGAGAGCTGCGGGTCCACCATCAGCATAGCAAGCGTTTTGCTTGGGTTTCCCAGGTGTGGTGCCGTCTCCAGCCAGATCACCCTTTCCCCAGGGTCTGCACTGAAGGACGGCCATGTAAAAGGTGTGTGGACTGAGCTCATGATACAGGAGGAAGCAGACAGATCACACCCATGACCCTACATCAGGTCTGGCCCTCTACTAACTGAGCAGAACATTCTAAGATAATAACACTCAGACTCCAAAACTCACTTATTTGAAACCTCTATTCTGGTATTTGCACCACAAGCTCAGACAACATAATTTTGCAATCCTGAAAAATAATCTCCAGAGCTACAGAATCTATATTAAACTCACATATACTGTATAAAATAAGAGCTGACAAAATGCACCATAAGTTAAATGGCAGCTGGTGAGATTACAGCTTTGCCTTGCTGGGATGTCAAAAATCACACCTACCGAGGCTGTGTTAAAAGAACGAGATTTTATAAATAAAGTATCTTGCCATTTTAGAAAATCAGAATTCATTTTAAGAACACTTCTGGGAAGATTTACTTGGAAAAGTGACTGTTCGCTGAAATTCTCACAGCAAACGTCCTTTTGAAGGTGCCACACTGAAGGGCTCAAGTACTGTGGAGGCACCTTTCTCACCCTGAACAGACCAGCTGTGGTCCAGGGAAGACTTGAGGATGGCGTGCGATCAAAAGAAGTCAGGGCCCTAAAAGGAGTAACTGTAAATGTGCTTTTAGGTAATATCTGAAAGAGTCACTTAGTTACTTTTTCAGTTCCTCCATTTTTAGGGATGGTTATAAACATCGAACTGTTAAAGGTGGAATTCTGCGTGTATCTGATCAGCAATTTCCAGAAATAGTAACTATGTTGGTTGGGGTATTTTCACATATATATGTGCTGCTGGGATTGAAAAGACAGACGGGGTTCAGAAGACTCGAGTTCTAGTCCTGGCTCTGCACCAGTCCTTCATGCACTCCTGGGCAAGACCCATTGCTGAGTCTCCAATTTCCTGATTGATGAAAAAGCAACATTACCTGTCCCATCAAGTAACCCCTCAAATTGCTTTCGGGTCAAGGAGAAAAGGGAACTCACATTTGCTGAGGACCTGCTCTGTGGCAGGCAGACACAGGTGGGAGGTGGCCTCTCTGAACTTGCCAGCCTTTAATCCTTGCCCAGACTTTAAGGGGTGAGGAGGCAGCCATCATCAGGGCCTTGCTGGCACAAGGCCCGTCTTCTCTCTAGCCCTCCACAGGGCTGACCACCACCAGGTAGCTGGCAGCACAGCAGCAAAGCCAGCTTGCTCCTCTGCCTCTGCCCATCACGTGGTCAGGGCTCTCCTGGCCCCAAGGGAGTCCAAGCACACTCCAGGTGGCTAGGGAGCAGCCACCCGCCTCTGGAGGCATCTCTGCTTAGAGAGGCCAGCATGGCTTCCGTGCATCCTGACAGCTGTGCCTTCCACTAGGCCGATCCCCACCCACCCCCTTACCCCAGGAGTGCTGCTTTAAAGGCAACAGACAGATGTTCACAGGGCTGGGAGTCCATGAGTACGCGGTAGCCTACAGTGTGTTCTTGTTGCAGGATAGAAAATACCAGAACTGGAAATGTATGCCTCCGATTGGTATTTTTCCAGTTGGCAGTGATCAGTGCTATGAACCTTGGGTTCATCATGGGCCTCACCTTTTATAAAGGAGCACAAAACAAGTACAGTAATACCTTGGTTTGCTAGCATAATTCGTTCCGGAAACAAACTACCCATATTGCAAGACATCGCTCGTTTACCACGTGAAAATGTATTACAAATGTTCGCTCGTCTTGCAGAACACTCGCAAACCAAGTTACTAGCAATCCAAGGTTTTACTGTATTTCCTTAGGAATTAATTTTTAAAATAAACTGAAAATAGCTTTCCCTAAAACTATGCAAGGTTATACTAAAGCTGACCCCTGCTGGAAAATGATTTGATCTTATTTATAAAGGAGGAGGAGCGCCTCACTCAGGACCACCAGATTAAGATCTTAAGTATTCTTACCACACAGTAAAAAAAAAAAGGAAAACTGTTCATTAGCTTGATTGTGAATATTTCACAAAGTATACCTATATCAAACCATCAAATTGTACATATTAAATATATATAAGTTTTCATGATCAACTATACCTCGACGAAATTGAGGGAAAAAGAGACATTCAAACAGGGTTACTTTTGGTTTTGTTTTTTTCAAACCGGTAAGGACACCTTTCACTTCC